GATTATTGATTAAATCATGATTAAAAATGGATATAATGAAGATTATGAAAATGATGTATATTGTTAAGGATATCTAGAAGAACTCTAAGATATACCCACTTGTATAATGATGATGATTATTAAGGATATCTAGAAGAACTCTAAGATATACCTCCTTGACCAATTCATATTTTGGGGTTAAAACGTACGTACGGGATCCAGATCGGATATCACCCACCCGACAGTTCACTGTTCGGTTGGTACGTAATCCACATGACTCATAGGGTAGATTATCGATTCTTGTGTTCTGCATTAAACTATTTATAGTTTAAGGGCCTGGTTAGAAATGTTGCCTTAGACTAGGAATAGCTAAGAGCTTGTTATAAAATGATTTGACCTTAGATTAAGAATAATTTAAGAGCATGGTTGAGATATTGAATATTAAATGACTTGAAATAAAATATTGAGAATATCATGAATGTTTGAATCATATATTGTGTGCATGATATCAAATGGTTGATTATGAATTGAGATTCAATTTATTTGGATGTTCGACGCTTTAGATATGCTTACTCAGCTTCATCGCTGAGCGTGTAGTATGTTTTATTTGCTACACGCAGGTAAACAGAAAGATTAATGTGATCCTGGCGGCAGATGAGGCGAGATTGTCAGGATGGATGTGACAAGTTTTGAAATGATTTATGATATGTCGCTTCCGCAATATTGTTAAACACTCCGTACTGCATATGTTATGAAAAATATTATTGAGATTAATAAAGTGTGTTTGAAAAGTTTTAAATTTTACGATTACCAAGTTAAATACTTTAGTCCGAATGGGGCTGTAGACCTGGACGGATTAGGGTGTTACATCAAATCCATCTCCAAAACATCACAAATAAATGTTGGAGGGTAGTATCGCGCTCCACTACATCAGACATATAATCCAAAAGTCGTGCCAACAAATGTGTGACCTGATCCGTAAACCTTTGAACAAAAGACACATAGACAAAACTAAATTTTGACGTCAGTATTTTACAAAAAAAAACAAACATAGAAAATATGAAAAATTTTCTTCCCTTGCCTAGAGAGAAAAATAAAGTGTCTGGTCCATCTCTATCGTGATCATCCGGTCTAAAAAACTTTAGAGATGAAAGTCGAGCCTAACGAAAGAGAAAAACTTGTTATTGCTTAGACGTCCTGTTTTTAATTGCACAAAAGATCACTTGACTCTCTTGCACAATAGCGTGACAAAGTTGGTACTTGTCTATATAGTAGTGGGACACCAATTTAATACTGTAATACTGTAAAAGATCAAGTTGACATCAATTTAAATATATATATATATATATATATATATATATATATATATATATATATATAGTTTAAATTAAATACATGTAGTTGCAATTCAAATCAAACCAATCCAAAGTACATGATTTTAATGTAATTTTTAGGAAAGTCAATGTAAGTTTAATCTTACGTAAATTTGTGTGTTAAGTAAAACTGAAAAAAATTATTAGATGGTGGGAGTACATTGATATTTATGCTCATTTGGTCTTAAAAAACTTAATGCACATCCTATTTGAACCTACTAAAAAGTACTCACTCCCTTCAACCTTGTTTGGGAACAAGTTTTTGATTATTGTTAGTGTTTAGAATATATTTTGAATGAAATTGATTAATTTTGAAAGTGTAAAGATAAACGATATTGTTTGATAAGCTTTTCAAAATAACGTTGCCTAAGAAACACTTCATTTCATTTCTTTAGTAATGAAGACATGACTTGCAATATTCAATTGTTTATTTTGTTAACTTTACGGAGTATCTTATGAATTTCGCAAAATTCAAACTATATAAAATTTTGTGGGACGAAGTTAGTACTTCCCCCGTCTCATAAATTCTTTCATATATTGATTTTTTAATCAAACAGTGACATCATTTGACAACAAATTAAATATAACTTAAACAAGTAAATGTTAACAAAATTTGATATATCAAAATCATATATTCTAACATGAACTCAATTATATTAAATTTGCTCCATAGCTAAATATTGGTTTTCATAAGTTTCCACAAATAATATTGGGCCGGATATGATATAGGCCTAAACTTCACCGAACCCCAAAAATCTACAATAGCACACATTAGATCAGCTCAAGCCCCGTCCCCGCCCTTCTTCTGCTTGAATTTACAGAGCTAGAGGACGATCCGACTTGAACCCTCCATTCTCCAGGTGGGCTTAAATCTTCGAAAAAGCTTGAAATTTTTTTTCTTCTTCCAAAACTGCACTGAAAATAGGTTCCATTATTGACACAGTTAGGTCTTTTGCAGCGCCTTCCATTCCATTCAATCTACTGTAAATTCCGAAGTTCTTAGATCCTAATCTCTTTCACGGTTCTGTGATGGACATTACATTTTTTTTTGAATTTCATTTGAGCAGATTGTCTCCATTTCCCAGTAGAGCTTGGGGTTTTTCGGGCATTTGGAGTTTGCTCCGAGTTCATGATGGTGGTATGAAGTTTTATTTATGCAGTAAATTCTTCAAATTTTGTTGTTTTTCTGGATTAGTTTGGTTTTTTGAAATCTCTTTTGCCTTATTTGATAGGGTCACAAACTTCTTAAAGATGAAGCTACTGAAGAAAAGGGTGAGAGAGCAAGAATGGTAAGATGTTTGTGTATTACTCCGTATTATTTACTCTTGAGGAAAAATGTTTGGGAGGATAGTGTGGAATAGTGGTGTTTTTTAATAAATAGATTATGATAATATGATAGAATTTCCTGTAACTTCTGGCTAGCGAAAAATGTGGAGTATGTTGTAGCAATAATAATATTAATAATATTGATAATACTAATAATAGTATAATAATAATAATCCCTTTGTCCCGCTATATTTTTTTTATCTGTCTCACTATTTTGTCTCATTGGTCATATTTGTTTGGTTCACATTCATTTTTATTTTTTGACATCAATATAAACCACACAAGCTTATTTTTCTTAATTTCTGTGCCACTCTCTCATGCCCGAAAAATAGTGAGACAGATGGTTTAATAACAACAACAACAACAACAACAACAATAATAATATGTTACCTTAACCAAGCTTCAAATGATGTATTGTTGAGTTCAGGCTTCCTTTGTGGGGGCAATGGCAATTGCTGATTTAGTGAAGACAACATTAGGGCCAAAGGGGATGGTAAGATATATCTCCAATCTGTTTGACCAGCTTATTAAGTTTTGGGATGTGCTTAAGTATGGCTTTAAGGCTTGCAATTTTTGTTTTCTTAACAGGATAAAATTCTACAGTCAACAGGAAGGGGTCATAGTGTCACTGTTACAAATGATGGAGCTACAATCCTCAAGTCCATTCATATAGACAATCCTGCCGCTAAAGTTCTTGTCGGTATGACGGTATCCTTCATACTGTCTATGGGTGGGTGGGGGGGGGGGGGGGGCGAGTTTTTTTGATGGCTGAATTGTTGTTCTAGATTGACGGATAGATAATGAGGTGAGGGATGTGTTGAGTCTTAGGTCAATCCTCACCATGTGGGCATTTGCATCTTTTACTTAGTTTTTCACATTGAATGAGTTAGAGTGTATTTAAATTGATGAGCGAACTAAAACCCTATGGCAAAGATGTCAGCTTCGAATAGTAATAAAGTATAAGAGATTGAAGAGATGACATAGAGCATATCTACATATCTACTCTGGCAATTCCCTTAAATTGTTAAACCCATACGCAAAGTATGGAGGTTTGTTGAGTACTGCAACTCAATAGAAAGAGTTTATTTTGGGTAAGTCATAGAATTGTAGAGTTAGAATAAAGTTGTTATTGAGGGCTTTCTATGGCATCCCACCATTAATAGCATGAGGATCAATAACTAAAAAGTAGTTTTATTACATCAAACAAAAGTCAATGTCTCAAGGGTAGCGAGTTGTTCTAAACATGTTCTTCACTCCAAGTTGCCGAGAGGGTAGAAGAGGGTGACAAGCTTGTGGAGGAGAGGGTGAAAGAAATTTGCCGCGTCTATAAGAATGGATTTCAAAGTGCCAGTGAGATGATGGACAATGGTAAGAGATCACTTGCTTCAAATCCATCCAAATTATCAATATGACCCACTCTATTTGCTTCAGAAGAACAAGGCAATTGGAATTTAAGAAGATGTGGATGAGTTTGAGATGGATTTTATTGGCTTCATTGAAAAACTTGTTTTTTAGTCTAATAGTTTTAAACAAAGGACATTTGGGTGCAAAAGCATCCCCAAAATATCTAAACAAAAATAAAAGTATCAATTTAATCCTTTGTTTCCCTCCAAAATAGATATTCACTATTGTAATGGTTGGTGTGGAAGAGGTGGTCTAAAATAAACCAAAATATTAATATCGAATTGCCTGCTCTATCCTATGAAGCAAATAGAGTGGATCATACTGATAATTTGGATGGATTTGAAGCAAGTAATTTGTTACTCTATTTATCATTTCATTGTTATTTTAAAGTCCAGTCTTATAGATACTACCGGTTTCTTCCTCCTTCTCCTCTACGTGTTACTCAACCTCTTCCACCCTCGCCTCCACAAGTTTATTCTACTAGAGGATGACGAGGGAGGGTGGAAGAGAGAGCGATGAATGACAAGCTGCGGTGGGAAGGTCTAAAGTTGGCCATCTATCTAGAGTTTAGAATTCATTTGTTGCTATAACTTGGAGTGTGAAATAATTGGTTTGGAACAACTATCCTTGAGACATTGACTTTTGTTTGTTATAAGAACCTTGACGTTTTAACAATTGATTCTCATGTTGTTGACGGTGGGATAGAAAGCCCTAATAACAACTCTCTTTTAACTCTATAGTTGTATGACTTACCCAAAATGGAGAGTCTTCCTATGACAAACCTCCAAACCTCCACCCTGCATCTCAACTTTACAATTTAATAAGGGAATTGCGAGTGGATATGCTCTCGATCGTCTCTTCAATCTCTCAAACCTTAATGTTATTCCGAATTGACATCTTTGCCATAAGTTTTCCATCAGCTCACTGATTTGAATACAAGTTCAATGTAATAAACTAGTTAAAAGATGCCAATGCCCACATGGCGAGGATTGGCCCAAGATCCATCACATCCCTCACCTCATTATCTTTCCGTCAATCTAGAACCTTTTTTTTTGTATTTTAAAATTCATGAAAAACAAATTGCTGTGGACCCTTGGACTTTTTTTTTGTTTCACTGGTAATTGTTTGGAGAGTGGATGCACTAAAAGCGTTTTACATTTTATGGGTGGTTAAATGTCAAATTCAATGAAACAATAATAGAACTAAACAATTTACCTTATCAATGTTGTTGAACCTTAACACCTTTGCCAGACATCTCTAAAGTCCAAGATGATGAAGTAGGGGATGGTACTACATCGGTAGTTGTTTTGGCGGGTGAACTTTTAAAGGAAGCAGAAAAACTGGTAAACTCAAAGATTCATCCAATGACAATTATTTCAGGTATGTTTCATATCAAGTAATTCATAGTTTCATATGTTTAGGACCTTTGCTTGCGGTTTAATGTCAACACTCATGTGCTATTTCTTGTTGACCATTATGCTTTGATATTTTGGGCAGTATGTTTCTGTTGTAATACCTTCAATTATGCTTTTGTTTTTAACCTTAGGGTTCCGCATGGCTGCTGAATGTGCACGCAATGCATTGTTAGAAAAGGTTGTCGATAACAAACATGATGCAGGTATATATGATGCAGGTCATGCTATCATTCAAATAATGAAACATCTTTAGACCATTGCTTTATAAATCGCGTCTTGTTTGAATTCATCGTGGCATACAACTATATACAAATCATAAACCCCAATAGAGTTAATGGTATTACTATGAAGAGGGTGTTAAATCATATTTTGTGATGCTGTGGGGAAATGTAGAGAAATTCAGATTAGACTTGATGAAGATTGCAATGACTACATTAAGTTCCAAGATTTTGTCTCAAGACAAGGAGCATTTTGCCACGTTGGCTGTTGATGCTGTCATGCGGTTGAAGGTATATTGCATCTTCATATACTTTAATATTCTTATTAAGTTGCGAGATCTTTGTTGCTCAATTTTAATTCTGGTATTTTACCTGTCCCCCATACCAAGTTTTTCAGTTGATGAAATAATTGGTTACGAGTAAGATTTAATTTTAGTCAGTTATCTTTTTTTCTGGTGCATATAGGTAGTAAATATCATTTTTCTCTCTTATCCTTTAACACTTTCTTTTGGTACACTTTTTAAATTGTTTATGCCGCATTTGATTATCTATTGATTTTTCTGTGAAGTTAGTGTTATTTTAACAGTTCAATGTGTTGCCGGTTTGATATGGCAGGGTAGCACCAATCTTGACTCAATCCAGATTATTAAGAAGCCTGGAGGTTCACTTAAAGACTCATTCCTAGATGAGGGGTGAGCAAACTAGGATTACTCGTCATCATTGGTGATTGAATGATATTATTGTCTGCATGCATTTTAGCTGATATGGTTTTTATATGGATCAATCATGTTTTAGTATTGCTAACTAATTGCAAGTGAATTCTTGATTCAATGACAGTCAAGATTTCTCTGCGTAGTCATGAAACCTTTGGTGGCCTTTGTCTATCTTAATGAAGATTCTTTTGTCGTCGTGTCTCATTATTAGCCATACATGATACCCTTTCCTAGATGTACCATAGGAACTCATAGAGGCATTTGAAGTCGGGTCTTTTGTGTTCCCATACTCTAATCTTATTGTTCTTCAAGCTACCCGTTTGTTACATCTACCCTTATCATATAAGGTATTATTTTGTTAACCTTCGTGCTTTTACAGTTTTCTTTCCGTTTTCTTTTCCCTTCTACGTTAACGGCACACTTACTCTGATCCCTTTTATCGTATCAGAAATGTGTGGAGCTCTTCTATAGTTCTATCCACTATCGCCCTATCAATTCTCACCTGCATTAAATTTTCAATTTTCTTTAGTTTTCATCTTTGATATTTGAGTTTAGATTTTACTTTGTTATGATTAACATCTTCATCCATCTTACCGTAGTTCAATGTCCAATATGAACATGAACATTTGGTGTGCGGTTAATCATGTTTTTGAGTTTACCCATCATATCTACGAACAACAGTGAATCAATGAATACAGATGCTAGAAAGAGTGAATAAAAAGAAACAAAGCTAGCGACAAACTATCTCAATGGTGATACCATTTACTTGTAGAACATGTGATGTAAATATTAGGTAGATAGTATAAGATGCTTTTTTGCCTCTATTTTGTTAACAAGTGTTATTATATTCCAATGTGTAAAAACTTCTTGTAAGGTGTTCAATTTGTTTTTCTTAGTTCCACAATCAAAGTAGAACAAATGTTACATGCGTTGGGCATCCATCGCACGTAGTGCATTGTAAGCTAATGATGTTTTGATGTGCTCATTAATTGCACAATTATTTCGGAGGGGTTCCCCTGATATTGGAACTCCATGTCATCTATGACATGGGCCCCAACTGGGGCCCCTACGGTGTCTTGTTTGTAAAATTGACAGTACCTACCCCCTAACCCCCAGAACCCCCCCACCCCCACCGCCAAGTCTTGAACCCATCCCCAACCCCTTCAATTGCACCTTTCAAATTTATGTCTTTGGATTCAATTTTTTTACTCCAAAGTCAAATAAATTTGGGGGTGCAATTGAAGGGGTGAGTTCGGGCGAGGTGGGGGGTTACCGGGGGTTAGGGGGGCAGAAATTGTCAATTTTACGTTAGAGACGCCGTAGGGCCCTCGGTATCCCATGACATTGCTTAGCAATATGAAGGGAACCACTCCCTTATTATTTTATCTTAGCATATACATGTTCTAAGTTAAGGTGTTGCCTGTAGGTTTATTCTGGACAAAAAAATTGGAGTTGGTCAACCTAAACGAATTGAGAATGCAAAGATCTTGGTGGCTAATACTGCAATGGATACCGATAAAGTAAAGATTTATGGTGCGCGTGTCCGTGTTGACTCAATGGCTAAAGTTGCTGATCTAGAAACAGCTGAAAAGAACAAGATGAGGGAGAAGGTGGAAAAGATTATCGGTCACGGAATCAACTGTTTTGTTAACAGACAACTGATATATAACTTCCCAGAGGAGCTGTTTGCCGATGCTGGGATTCTTGCTATAGAACATGCTGATTTCGATGGTATTGAGCGCCTTGCCTTGGTCACTGGTGGTGAGATTGCATCAACTTTTGACAACCCAGAATCAGTTAAGCTGGGCCACTGCAAACTTATTGAGGAAATCATGATTGGCGAGGATAAGTTAATTCACTTTTCCGGAGTTGAAATGGGCCAGGCATGTACAATCGTCTTGAGAGGCGCAAGGTACTCATCACTTATCAGTAAACCCTTTCAGTTTTTTTTCCCTAAAAACCTTTCCTCGTTCACTTTTCATCCATTCCCAAGAAACTTTTCCACTTTCTATTCAAAAGTCACTTTTGCCCCTACTAATTCTTACCCTACCTATCACATCATATCTATTCACTATGAATCTACCCATCACATCCAGGGAAATTTTGGGAAACTCAACACTAAAATACACTCTCCTTAAATCCATTAAAAGTTAATGCTGGAAGGATTTTAAGGGACGAAAGGAGTAAAAGATTTCACTTGTGTGGCACAATAGATAGAGATGAAACTGAAATATCACACTCCCTCCGTCCCAGTGGCTTAATATTTTGAAATATTTGCACTAAATAACACTAAAACTTAAGTCATTTCTCTAAATACCACTTAAACTGTTTTATTCCCTAAATAGCACTTAATAATGTCCAGTGATGACGAATATTTGCTTGAATAATGACTAATGCATAATGACTAAAAGTGCTACATTGGGAAGAAAAACACATGTGGTGCTATTTAGGGAAAGTCATTATGTTTTAGTGCTATTTAAGTAAATTCCTCTAATATTTTTTATAAAATCAAATAAAGTTAATGAACTTTGCAACTTTACCAAGTGTGTGTTGTGTAGGTTACTATGCCTAAAGAAAATAAAATCAAATAAAGTAAATGTGGTTTTGTGACATTATGACATTCTTCCTCTTCTTCTTCCATATTGTCCTATAAAGCCCTCATGTTCTGGATGAAGCTGAAAGATCCCTGCATGATGCCTTGTGTGTTCTGTCACAAACGGTGAATGATAGTCGGGTATTACTTGGTGGTGGATGGCCGGAAATGGTGATGTCAAAGGCAGTAGATGGTTTGGCTAAAAAGACTCCCGGGAAAAGATCTCTTGCCATTGAAGCTTTCTCAAGGGCACTTTTGGCCATTCCAACAATCATTGCCGACAATGCCGGGTTGGACAGTGCTGAACTCGTTGCACAACTTCGTGCTGAACACCACAGAGATGGATGCACTTCTGGGATTGATGTCATCACTGGAACCGTGAGTAACTCCACCCCACCCCGCCCCCTTTAAAATTGCATTGTGTTTCGATCAATTTTCTTCACAAATTGGATGCGGCTATTGGTCACTAGCACTCTGGCAGTGTAGGACACACCCATTGATAGTTGGTGAAATTTTGGCAAATAGCCTGCTAAGATCTACCCACACTGTCTCAAACAAAAGCCTGTTTTAAAAGTTTGTCCCCAAAAACACTTTTTTGTTACAACAACCTAATTAGGTTTGATGAGGTTGTTTTTCGAAAGACAACCGGTTCTAGAAAATATACAAGAAAAAGTAGTTTTTTTAAAAAAAATTATTGAAGCTTATTTTCCGTCAAAGTCAAGTTCTCTAAAAAGGCTTGATTTAGCTGGAATATGATCATAAGTTAAGATACACAAAAAATAGAATAAACTTCAAAATGTGGGTAGGATTTATGCCTTCCATGAGTTTTCCACTGCCAAAACTAGAAGATGATGTGCCTTAGCCATGTTGAACTCTCTTTTTGGGAGGGAGGTGGTAATATTTTTACTATTATTATTAAAACTATTATTATTATCATTATTATTATTATTATTATTCCAGAATTCTAACGGCTATATCAACAGTTCTCAGTCTAATTCTACACCTTTCTACTTGACCCTATGTTTGGTTCAAGGAACTTGGAAGGAAAAGAAAAGAAATGATTTTCTTTCATTTTTCTCACCAAAATTTTGTTTTCCCTCTTTTTAGACTCTTAGTATATTTTGTCTTCTCATTTTCTTTTCTGTTCCTCTCTAACCAAACAAGAAAAATTATTTTCCATCTCATTTTCTTTTCTCTCCCCTTTCAAATTCCTTGAACCAAACATATTCTGAAGGAATCAAAGAATATCAAAGCCAAGAAAACCCTCTTTTTGCATGCTCTCTCTCTCTCACTCATTTATTTAGCTCCCCTCCCCACGTGTTGGCAGGTTGGTGATATGGCCGAGCTGGGCATATCGGAGGCATTCAAAGTCAAGCAAGCAGTACTGCTCTCCGCGACCGAGGCTTCGGAGATGATTTTACGGGTCGATGAAATTATCACGTGCGCACCTCGCCGTAGGGAAGACAGAATGTGAGTTCAACTAATGGTTAAAAATCTTCTGCTGCTTTCTCTTGGCTGAGTTTTGTACTTTATCTGTGCCTCCTATTCTGCTTCTCTTGGAGCAGAATCTGCATTTGCCTAGCATCTCTTTGGACGATGATACAGTTTTTTAATGTGGGTTTCATCAAATTTTCCCAACCAAAATTTGTCGTGTTCGTCAATCTACTTCTGCTTATAGATTATGCCTTTTGAAGTCTAAAATGGGAAAATGGGCTCCAGAGATGCTTGTAAGCAAAGCTAAAACTATCCAATTTATGCTTATACTTAAAACTTCAGTTTTTTCATCAACCTACCACACTCCCAAACACCCTCTAAGTACGTAATTAATTCAAGATCTTGTTTGGTAATTATGATTATTTGGTAGCACTAATCTATTACTCTCTCAATCAGTGTAAGGGAGCCTCAAAGATCTTTGATAGGATGATAGTACTGTTTTATTCCTACACTTCGATTCAAATGCATTTCGGGTATGAAGATGGAATTCACTTAGGCTTCGGAGGAACGAAGTGAAAGGTACGAAGTAACTCTGAAGATTCGTTTCACTATTCGTTGTTCGTTGTTTCACATAGTGTTGAACATAGTTCAACGTTTGAAACGAAATGAGTTGAACATAGTGAAACGAATCTCTGTTCTCTAGGGACTTCGTACCTAGACTAATGTGGTATAATAAAACAAAAGGTGACATGATTATATTATTTTATTAAATGAATTTTGAAAACGAGTAATGATTAAGCTTTGAGTGTAAGAATGATGAATACGTAACTTAAATTGTGATGGAGGGAGCATACGTTTTTTTATACACAAGAATGAATAATTGTTTGTGTGAATAAAAAATGTGTAGGTTAAACTTTGTGTTTAACAAATTTTTTTGCACGATCTCTATGTAAAGAACACTTAACACTAATCGTTTGGCACAAACACAGACGTTGATCGTCTGTGCGACACAGACGATTATCATCTGTGTTTGTCTATGCGAAGCGTGAGTGGCCCATTGTAGCATTCATGTGGTGGTAGCCTAACATTTTTCATCATACAAATACCCTTAACATTATATTCATCTCTCTCCGAGTAAGGATATGATTTGGCCAATGTATCATGTTGTTCTTTGGCGCATTAATGTCCTAATGCCATTACACAATATCATGATTTGGGACGAAAAAAGTACAAAAAATGAACGGAATACATTGAAATTTGAGATATTATAAATATTCAAATGTTTCTCTTTTAGATATATTTTGTTTGTAAATTCCAAAGTTGAGACTTTATTCGCCATGCATTACTTTGTTTAATCTCCTCTCTAAACTCAAAACACCATATCTGTTTTTCCTTCTTATTTTCTACTCACTTTGTCCAAAAAACGAAGGTAGTACGAGATTATAGATTGTGCTAAAAATGACTCTTGTTTGGATTTAGTTCTTTCTTTATTTTCTTTTTGGGTTATCAGAAATTAATAGTTAATATATATTAAATTTACTAGACATATTCATGAAAATCATAAAAAAATGCTCCACAAAGGGCATATTATTCTTGCACTATTTTCTTTTTGGTCGTTGTATAATGTATATTCATTTGTCTCGAAAGGGCATATTAGTCTTGCGCTTTCCTTAATTTCTACACTTTTTTAATTTCACACTTCTCGAATTTTTGCAAGAAATGAATATGTGGCTCTTGTTATTTCTCAATCATAGAAATAAATTTCAATTACATTCTTTTTTACTTTTCATGTAACACTTTTATTATTCAATAATTTTTTAAACGCGGTGATGTGTAAAATTATAAATTTAGATTTTTTTGGAACGGAGAAAGTATAAAGTGTTACGGAGATTTCTCGATGGATTTAAATATTCAAAAACGTTTCATTTTTTTCTTCAAATTGAACAAAAAATAATCTTTCAAAAGCCTTTCATTATTGATTTAGGCCTTGTTTAAAAATAATATTTTCAATTAGCGTTAATACTTTGGATCATTTCTTAATGGCGCATATTAACTATAAAAAAGCTATTCCGTAAGTTAAAAGTATGAATTATTTTTAGGTGCGGTGTAATTTTTTCAAAACGTTGAATCTACTGTGAAACAGATCTAGTGAGTTTTTGAAATACCTTCCATAGTTCCATTTGATTCGATGCAATTTAAATTTTAATTTTGAAGAAAATAGTAACAGCCCAATTAGCCTTGACAAACAACTTTTGCCAATAGATAATTAAGGATTACATCGAATATACTTAATGTACAATTGAGGATTTGAAGGATCTCTTCTTCAACCTTGTTAAAAAGTGAGGTTTCTAAGACAAAAAGAGTGAGGGTGCCCCAAAATGATTGTTACCATGAGTGCAGCCAAGTTTTGCATAGATGGCACAGATGATAATCATTTATGCGAAGCTTGAGTGCACCCATGGTAGTAACCATTTGGAAGCACCCTAGCATTTTCAATAAATATTAAACAACACGTCTCTTATAATATACTTCATCCCTTTGTCAAAATTCTTCCTATTTACTATTTAAGGTATCCAGATAACATTTATTTGCGTGTATTTTAAATTAGTCATTTGACAATAAAATACTTTTATCACTACTTCTTTTGTAGAATTTTTTATTCATCTTTTAAATATATATATGTTTTACTTTTAATTTATACAGGAATTTGTAAATAAAATCATTTTTCAAAAGATGACATTTTACATGTAAAATAAAAACCAGAAGTGTTTTTAAAAATAGAGGGAGTACTTCGTAGTAAAGACAAATTCTTTCGTGGACCTAAGGTCCATGCTCATTATATGAACCTTAGTGCATTTGTAATATAAAAGAAGTGGGCATTTTCAAAAAAGAAAATGTTTACATGCAAGTCCATGAAAAATGTAAGAAAATCCACATTTTAAATGTAGACCTTGGGACCATGTAAGCATCACTCCTTTGTAAAATATTTAAACAAGGGGTGATCTAGAAGTTAAATTTGTCTAGCACCGTACCGTCTTTATGATTATAAAGTAATTAAGGTTGTGTTTCATATGCTTGATCTTATTTTTTGAAAATCTGGTCTGATTTAATTTGATTGGATCTGATTTGATTTGGTTATAGTTATATTTTAAGTTTTTTTTTGTTTTGATATAATTTTTATAAGAATTCGTAATAAGCTAAAAAAATAAAGGAGACGAGAGAAGTTGACTCGGGTGAATTTCTAGATTGACACAATAAGTAAAGGAGACAAGAGAAGTTGACTCGGTCAAAGTATCATAGAGCCTACCTCGGTGTTATCTCCGTGACAAGGTAAATCTGATATGATTCATCAGGCAGCTAGCTTGACCTTCAGAGTTTACCCGGGCCTAGCTAGCCGTGTAGAGGTAACCTTACGAGGTTGGGTCCCATGCACCTACTCGATGTAGTAGTAGTAGAGAGAGAAAATTGTAGTGACCTGGTCGGAGTGTCTCGAAGACTACCCAGGTGCAACATACGTGACCAGGTGAAAAGCACGATATACCTTCGAGAGATCACACGAGTAGCTTTAGACCAAAACCCACTCTAGTGGATTCCGACCTTGTACAATGACAACAAACCTAACATGATAATCCAGACGTATTTACATGGTAATGGATGTATTCCACCTGGGTCACGACCCGGGTCGGGTCTTTCCAGGAGCAACCAGGTGAGTCCCGAACAATGCGAAACCAGGTAGCTTGGGTGGATCTGTACATGACCGGGTGGATTTCCATGACTCATTCTAGCATGCGTCTTGACAGCTCATCGCGGTTGGACGATAGTACTTTGGGAGCCACTTGGTCAGGACAGATTCCTCTGCACCAACGGGTCTATCCAGGTATTCCCACTCAGCACTACGCGCTATATTGGGATAGTTACAAAGGGAAAGCTCGAAGGATGAAGAGACAAACACTACAAGCTAAGACAGAAAGGCATCAGGACCTGCACACTATCACGTGGCCTTCACACGGTCGCATGTCGACCTGTCCCCAAGATTCACTATAAATAGGCTTGCAACACATAGTAGAAGGGTTCAGAATTTCATCTCTCTAAAAGTGTATTGTGTAATATCTCGCCGTACTCTTCCATTACTTAACAACAATCAGACTACTTTGTGCACTTTCAGTACCTAAACTCAGCAAACCCCCCTAGACTCAGTTTAAAGTAGTTTGCTCGGGTGGTAATTTACATCATTAGTAATAATAATAATAGTAGTAGTAATAATAATAATACTAATAATAACAACAACAAGAACAACAATAATTTATTCAGGCTCGGCCGGGTAGTAGGCATGAACATAAATCTCGAGCTGGACTCCCAAATATGCCGGACTCCATTTATAAAGCCCGATCTCCCGCTATTTTAGAGACGACCGTTTGTAGCCAGGCCTGATACCTAGGCCCGTGATCCAATTTTGTTAAACCATGATTTTTTTTCTAACTCCAAGTTGAAATTAAACTTTACAATAAATAATCTAAAAACATATAGAAACCGCATATCTTTGTGTACGTGCACATATATTCATTTTGTCCATATACCATTCATCATCCTCCACCCTTTATTGTCACTCCTTTAGATATTTTTCCCCAATTTAATGTCATCTCTTTTGTAGTTCATGAATCATTCACCTATATATATATATTAAAGATTATTAATTAACTAATTAATTAATTAATTAAATTTCAAAGCAATATTTTTAGTTCTCATTATGTTCCCAAACTACCCCTTATTACTCTTCTTCTTCTTCTTCCAAACATCATTAATTTCTACGAACTCGCAGCTCCAGCTGCCGTGCACGCCGCCGTACCACAACGGCCACCGCTTCTGCAACACCTCGCTGCCCATCGCCGCGCGGGTCCGCGCCTTCGTGTCGCTCCTGACCGTCGACGAGAAGATCCCGCTGCTGTGCGACAACAGCTCCGCCGTGCCGCGGCTGGGGGTGCCGGCGTACCAGTGGTGGTCGGAGTCGCTCCACGGCATCGGGCTCAACGGGCCCGGCGCGAACCTCGACGGGGTCGTGAAACGCTCGACCATCTTCCCCAACGTCATCGGCACCGTCTCGTCGTTCAACCGCACGCTGTGGCGGTCCGTGGCAGCCGCCGTCGCTGTCCAGGCCAGGGCCCTGCACAATTTGGGCCAGGCCGGGTTGACTTTCTGGGCTCCCACCATAAACGTCTACAGGTGAAACCTTAACTTGTTGGACAGAGTAAATAAAATTGATATTGTTCCCTCTTTTTAAATTGACTTTTCTCTAATTTAAAGAAACTAAAAATAAATAAATAAATGATTT